TTTAGGGATATTGGTCTGTACCTTTTTTGTGATGTTCTTATTTGCCCTTTTTTGTGTGGTTGTGTGGTTGATACATTTTAATCTTCCTAATTTTATTGATTTTATCTTATTTACTTGTAGAATATTGTGTTTGTGGGAGGTAAGTACAGGTTCTTTTTATGCCGCCACCTTAAACCAACCTACCCTCCAAGAATAAATTTCATGCACAGACATATGAAGTAATTACAATATTAAAATGAATAAGACCCACCTTTATAGCCATTTAGCTTACATTTTAAAGTTTATTATGAGCAATTTAGAATTATGCCCTTGCAGAATAAATGCTTTTTGGAGTATCTTTTCACATTTATATTTTGTTCTTTTTGCCAAATGAGACTATTTTCCTATCATCAACAGTTTGGATGTAAGTAAATAACTAAAATGCTGTTTACACAGCTGCCATAAAGTTTAGCACTGGGACGTGGTTTTGGTTTTTAATGAACTCTAAGCATCTGCTGCTAGAACAGCCCCGGGCTCCTGCCTTTGGGTATTGTCTGTGTCATTGTGTCTGGTTTTTCTTTCAACAGGAGCATGTAAAATGGGTTCATGCTGAAATGGTAAATAAAAACTCCACGCTCAAGCTAATTTATGTGACTCCAGAAAAAATTGCAAAAAGCAAAATGTTTATGTCAAGGCTAGAGAAAGCCTATGAAGCAAGGAGGTTAACCCGAATTGCTGTGGATGAAGTTCACTGCTGTAGTCAGTGGGGACATGACTTCAGGCCTGGTATGTATGTTGTATCTAGAAGACTCCTTCATGCTAGGCCTTATTTTCTTTCTCAGCTTCATGATGAAAATCCCTACTTTAATTAAAATTATCCTCTTGGGTAGTTACTACTACTCATTTTCTCTAACCTCTATGTCAGGGGAGCCAAAAAGCAGAATTTTTAATGTCTTTATTCCCTTCTGGGTCATGTTTAGTCTTAGTTCCTTTATCCTTTGGAATGTGTGATTATTAGCAAGTACAGTTTAGGCATCACTTAATGACTGGAATACTTTACGAGAAATGGGACGTTAAGTGCTTCAGTTATGCTTCAGTTATGTGCTTCAACACCACATGGTGTATCCTATTCCACACTATTGAGAGCACTGTCGTACATGGCGTTCTGCACTGTATGGTTCTTGCCCATCTTTGTGGCATTTTCTGACCTTCCAGTTCTCCTTCACATCCACTGAGGATTTGCATCTGCCCCAGATTTGTTGTATTTAGTCAGCATACTGAGTATCCTCGGGATCTGTCGAACCAACTCCTCAGCATTACAGTTCTATGGGTCCTTTTAGTAACCCTTTTCTTTATTCCTTCAACTTCACTTTACAGCCCAAATTGAAGCAGATTTCTGAGACTCTTGTTCTGTGAAAAAAAATAAGTTAATCCTGGTCTCTGATTTCAACCTCTTCCTTGTGAAGCAGCTTTGGCACCTCTTTGGAGCTTGTGGGGCCTCTCCTTATATTTGTCTGTGGCTCTGGTTCCCAAGAGATGGTCGCTCTTACCCATTCAGACTCTGCTGTTGCCTCTTCTATTTCTCCTGCACTGCCTGGTGTGTTACCAGTCTGCTTTAAGCAGTGCTAGACCGAGATAAAGGGTCCACTTGGACTTCTGCTTCCCCATTCTTGCTATTTGGCTATTAAACATTGTTGGGAAAATGGCATAACTCTATTCATTGCAACCTCAGTTCACCTTTCTTCATGTACCTTTCTTCTTGTCCCTATTTCATCTCCTTTTAACATTTTGTCCAGTGTGCTCTTTATATCATTAACTTTTCTTTAGGCCCTAACTCCTCATGCCTAGCAGATGCCTCCAACTTCCCACAAAACAGATGCCATTAGACATGGACAACAACTCTTTCTCTTCCAAAGTATTGGTAGTCTCTGTCTTTTGCTTATTCCAACCCATCCTTTGCACTGCCACCAGAAGGTGACTTCTGAAATACAAGTCTATTTATATCTCTTTCTCCTTTAAAAATCACATGATGACTCATTTCCTACTAGATAAAGTCTTCACTCTTTAGAATCAGCTGACTCTAGTCAAGGTCTTATTCAAATTTATATTTATATTTATATTCTTCCATGTAACAGGTTTTGGGTGGGGAAGCAGAGCAACTATGAATGTTAAGGGAAAGGATTTATTTTAGGAAGTAGACTTTCCATGATTGTGGGAGGAGCTGGGGAAAGGAAGGTCTGAAGGCTGAGTTGAAGATCAGAAAAAATTCACTAGTTAGTCCCGAAGTAGCGTGAGGACCAGTAGTGCCGGCGCCCTCTCGAAGCCACTCAGGTTGTACAGCTCTCGGCTTACCAGAGCTGAGAGATTCACTAGGCTCCACACCCTGTGATTTAGCTCCACCTAACTGCTTGCGGGTGACTGAACCTGCCAAGTAATCTCACGCTGGTGTGTTGGCAGCGTTTCCTATGCTGGATGGTTTTCATCTTCTTCCCTTCCTGGTGAACTTCTGCTCACTTTTCATGACCCAGCCCATGGATTACCTGTCACAACTTCCCAAGCATTACTTTGTCTCTGGATTTTCACTGTGGCCTTCTGCCTTAGCGTTTAGCAATTTCTACTCTGTTCATTTTTCACTTTTCTTCAGATATATTAAGTATTTGAGGAGGGAAAGCTTATCTAGTGATTTAGATGTGTAGGACAAGAGTGGTTTAGATGTATAAGCCCAGAGTGGTTTTTTGAAATAGGTTATGTAAAAACCAATGCCCAGACCAAGCTTTTAGGAGTTGAACTTGGCACTCTGGGATGATGCTGGAGGTAGTGGAGGGTTTGGTTGAAGGCTGCTTTTATCTCTTGTCTGTTCTAATATTGATTGATTCCAACACCTTGACTACCCCACTGTCTCTTGCATCCACTGTTGAATGTGCAGGAAACTGTTGAAGTGCACAGCTTGCAGGAAACACCCAGCTGTTCTGTTTTCAACAGGGACTTGCACTCGTGGCCAAGAACAGTGCTTCCGAAGAGCTAGTGTAAAGTATAATAAAGCTGCCTGTTAGAGCGGGCAGCTGCTGGGATTAACCAACAGAGAGTGATGGCAGTGACAGGAGTCGTGGTTATCTGGATCATGTTAAAAAGTGCAATTTGCTTTATTCCTTAGAGGACAGAGAGAAGGCCACTTTGTACTTTTCTTCTAGATTATAAGGCACTTGGGATCTTAAAGCGGCAGTTCCCCAACACATCATTAATTGGGCTGACAGCAACCGCAACTAATCATGTTCTGAAGGATGCTCAGAAAATATTGTGTGTTGGAAAGTGTTTGACTTTCACAGCTTCTTTTAATCGGCCAAATCTTTTTTATGAGGTATGTAACATATCAAAGTATTTTTGTGATGGATAGTAGCAGAGAGGATACCATTTCACTATGTTTATTTATGAGTTAACTGTTTAAAATTTTTTAAGATCAGGAGGTAACTATATGCATATTTATTAATACTTTTTCATATATCTCCTATATTATTTAATCTTTTGTTAGGTTAAGTAGAAGATACTCCCTCATTAAATTTACATTCCTTCTTGTGCAAGGATGGCGAGAAATGCATTGATACCAGGGCCCCTAATAACATCTGCATTGCAAGTCATTGCTAAGTAGAGCTAAGCTAATGTGCTGCTCATTAGTAAGTGGAGCTAAACTAATGTGCCGCTTTGCTTGTGCAGCCATGCAGTGCACGTTTGGTGATCCACATGTCACATGCACAACCACAGTGATCACACTGAGGACAATCCAGTCTATTTGTGTGGGACTCTGTGCCATCTGGGTTTGTGTATTATACTCTAAGATGATCACATGACAGAATCACCTAAGGACAGTTTTCTCAGAAGGTATCCCTGTTGTTGAGCAACATGGGACTGCTCTCTGCAGAGACTGCATTTGATACGTGGCTTTGAAAGTTAAATAGCCTAATAGTGATATTTCCTTTTTAGTCCTTTTAAGACTATTCAACATTTTCCAGGGTTTTCATTGAATAGTTATTTATGCCTGGTTATGTTTTTATAAAAGAAACATCATAGAAAAGGTCTCCATGTTATCAAGTATTCATTGCTTCTGTGCCTCCTTCTGAGAAATTAAAAAAAAAAAAATCAAGAAAAAAGTTCAGTGGGCTGCTGGAGTGAGGCAGAGGAGGTGTATGAGAGTAGAAACAAACGCCATGCTCGTGAAAGAATGGTACCTGAGAGATGTAAGTAAATGACTGCTTGGACGGTCCTTAGCAATTTACTTTTTAACAGTTACCATCTTTTTAGGTTCGGCCGAAGCCCTCAAACACTGAAGATTTTATTGAGGATATTGTAAAGCTCATCAGTGGGAGATACAAAGGGCAATCAGGTAACATAAATACAAACCAACTTTGAAGACTGAACTTTCAGAAATACAGCTCTAGTACAATATACTTACAAACCATTAGCACCAAAGACTACCAATGCATGGTGGGAGATACCTGAAAATGTGATGACATTAATTAGCTTTTTGATCTTAGAAATTGGTATGTTATTTGCTAACAGCAGGGACTGTAGGAGTCATAAAATGTCGTGATTCTTTTTGCTTAGTCATTTTATAGAAGGCATCTAATGACTCAATGTTAACTATCAAGAGCATATGTTTAGGGGCCTCCCTGGTGGCCCAAGGGGTTAAGTGTCAGCACTATGAAACCATCTGTAGCCACTGCAGCATGACTTCGATCCCTGGCCAGGGAGCTGATCCACATGGCGCAGCAGACCTCTCCTGTCTCGCCTGCTGCTCCCCTCAGCAGTGTATTTCAGTAGATCTACCTGTTCTGCTCCCCACTCTGTCTCTGGTGACTCTCACCGTCCCCGCCCCCAACTCTGGCTTACACCCCAGCTCTTGTATGCATAAATAAATAAATATTCAAGTAAAAAAAAAAAGTGTATGTTTAGTAATTACCCTCTGTAAGATGGAAGGTTAAAAGCACTGACATTCTAAAGGGATATGAAAATACAGTCCCTTATAATAAAAGAAGTATATATTGAATGGGATAAACATAAATGTGCAGTCACACACACACACACCCCCCCCAGGATTAATGATCAGGCAAGTGTTACTAAAGAAAAGAGTTTTTATACAAGTAGCATTTCAGAACTTTTCTGTAGATTTTCAGGAGCTCTTAATAGGTACTCTTGTTAAAAGGAGTTCCAGGGTCAAGTAAGTTTGAGAAAGGCTACAGCTACTGACCTTGTTAAAGACTCACAGGGCTTTATCAGTACATTAGAGGAGCTGAGCAGCCCTGTTTAACTTTGTTCAGTGCTGTGTTTCCCAAACTCATGCACAATGTACACACTAACATCTTAGGGAGCTGTGGGACTCATTTTGAGAAATACCATGTAGTAGGAGGTAAAGTTGGAGAGAAATAAGAGGTATAGGAGCCAACTCAGCTCATTTCCATAAAGTGAGCTTGTGATCAAATCTTTTATTATAACAAAATTGACAGATGTTTAAGACCTTAGATTTTTTTAAAAAATTGTTCCTCCTGTGCATTGCATTGATCTTGAGTGCCTGTTGCAAATTATCTTTAGGAATATACTATCAGCACCTAATAATTGACCTTTTACTACAGGAATCATCTACTGTTTTTCTCAGAAAGACTCTGAGCAAGTCACGATTAGTTTACAGAAACTGGGAATTCATGCAGGTGCGTACCATGCCAACATGGAGCCAGAAGATAAAACCAAGGTTCACAGAAAATGGTCTGCAAGTGAAATTCAGGTTACGTATATTTCTTCAATAGTTTTTAGCTCACCTTGAAAAGCATTTTATTTAATGTATAAAATGTTAAAATGTTTTAGGTCGTAGTGGCAACTGTTGCTTTTGGTATGGGAATTGATAAGCCAGATGTGAGATTTGTGATTCATCATTCAATGAGTAAATCTATGGAAAATTACTACCAAGAGAGTGGACGTGCAGGTATGTAGTTTTTAAAAAGCCTTCTGTAAGAAAACTCATTATAAATGATGTGCAATGATTTCATATTTTCAACCTTATCTAGTATTTTTAGAACAAGTAAGTGGTATTCTTTTGGAATTACGTCCTTATTTGTGCAGAAACTTTACTTTGTTTTGGAGTGCTACAAGCTGTTCTCTAAGCTAGCTTCATGGCCATTTTTGTTGCCTAAATTTTTATTTTGGTTTAAAATCTGTAACTTAAATAACTGGATTTTTATTTATGGACTTTTTTTTACTTAATAAACCTCATGGTTGGTAAGTCTCTTTGGTCATTTGTAACAACTATCCTCAAATTAAAAAAAACTTGGACATTTGTCTGGAATGTTTAGATGTGATATATTTAGATGGAAGCACTGCCAGCGAATTGCACATTTATTATCATTGCATGTTTTGAAATGTTAAAATAACTATGCAATCTCAAGATGTCTCACGCTGCAGGTCGAGATGACATGAAAGCGGACTGTATTTTGTATTATGGCTTTGGAGATATATTCAGAATAAGCTCAATGGTGGTGATGGAAAATGTAGGACAACAGAAGCTTTATGAGATGGTGTCGTACTGTCAGAACATGAGCAAGTAAGCCACACCGCTTTGTGTAACTTTGTGAAAGATTAGCAGTGTGACAGCATATGCTGTTATTTGGAGTACTTGCTGAGAACTGTGTAACATCAAGTGCAAACCTGTATAGAGAGGTGGGAACCAGGACACAAGCCTGCAGGATCTGTCTTAATCCAAGAAAAGCTTTATTTTGGGTCACTAGTATACAACTATAATACATGTTTTAATAATTTTGAAAAGGTGATTGAGTAGGCATTTTAAGAGTGGACTTCATTAACACACACTATCCGGATGGGTGGATATAATCTTTGAAAGCAGAGTCAAGCATCTCTTTAAGAAATACATTTCTAATCAACTCAAAATGGATAAGAGAACTGGACATAAGACCTGAAACCATAAAATAAATAGAAGAAAATGTAGGTAAAACTCTAAAAGACATATATCACAATAACATCTTTAAAGACTCATCACCCAAAGCATCCGATATTTTTCTTTTTCCTTCTGGCTTATTTCACTGAGCATAATTCCTTCTAGTTCCATCCACGCTGCTGTAAATGGCATGAGTTTATCTTTTTGATTGCTGAATAATATTTCATTGTGTATATATGCCACATCTTCTTGATCCAGTCATCTATTTTGGGGCATTTGAGTTGTTTCTAGGTTTTACCTGTTGTAAATAGTGCTGCAATAACATAGGGGTACGGGTGATCTTTTTTTTTTTTTTTTTAAGATTTATTTTATTTATACAAGTGCTGGGGTACAGGCCAGATGCGTGGGAGGGTGAGAGGATTCACCAGAGACAGAGCGGGGAACAGAACAGGCAGACTGATGAAATACACTGCTGAGGAGAGCAGCGGGCGAGACAGGAGAGGCCTGCCTCACCATGTGGGATTCTTTCTGGCAGGCTGGGATTGAACCCATGCTGCGGAGGCTGGGAATAGCTTCACAGTGTGGCACTCAACCACCTGCACCACCAGGGAGGCCCTACAGGTGTTCTTTTGAATCACTGTTTTTGTGTCCTTTGGGTGGATCCCTAGTAGTGGAATTGCTGGGTCATATGGTAGCTCCATTTTTAGTAGATTGAAGAACCTCCAGCTTTCCATTGCAAGCTTTCCAAAGCAAGGATAGTCAAGGAAAAGATAAACACCTGGGATTACATAAACTGAAAAGCTTCTGCACAGCAAAAGAGACATTAACCAAAACAGAGAGACACCCCACTAATTGGGAAAAAATTCTTTGCATTCCATTCAACTGATAAGGGACTGATCACAAAGATATACAAAGAACTCATACCACTCAACAAAAACAAAATAATCTAGTCAAGAAATGAGCAGAAGAACTTAAAAGACATTTGTCCAAAGAGGAAATGCAAATGGCCAACAGGCATATGAAAAATTGTTCAACATCCCTTATAATCAGGGAAATGCAAATCAAAACCATATGGAGATACCACCTTACACCAGTGAGAATGGCACATATCAAAAAAACAAGCAAATGTTGGCGAGGATGTGGTGTAAAAGGAACTCTCCTACATTGCTGGTGGGGGTGCAAACTGGTCCAACCACTATGGAAAGGACCTCCACTATCTGGAGGTTCCTCAGTCTACTAAAAATGGAGCTCCCATACGACCTGGCAACTCCACTACTAGGGAGCTATCCAAAGGACACAAAAAAATTGATTCAAAAGACCACCTGTGTTTATTCCAGCCCTATTTATAATAGGTAAAACCTGGAAACAACCCAAATGCCCAAAAATAGATTACTGGATCAAGATAATGTGGTAAAGGGCCTCCCCTGGTAGCACAGCAGTTGAGAGCTGGGCTGCAAAGCTGCCGGCAGCCTCTGTAGCGCTGGTTTGATCCCCGGCCGCCAGCAAGGGTCCCACGTGGTGCGCAGACCTCTCCTGCTGCCTGCTACTCCCATTAGCAGTGTACTTTGGTCCTTCTGCCTGTTCTGTTCCCTGTTCTGGTGAATTCTCTCACTTTCCCGTGCTTCTGACTGTACCCAGTGCTTGTATAAATAAATAAATAAATCTTAAAAAAAAGATTCCTTTAAAAAAAAAAGATGTGGTACATGTACACAATGGAATATTATTCAGCAATCAAAAAAAGATAAAATCATGCCATTTGCAGCAATGTGGATGGAGCTAGAAGGAATTATGCTCAGTGAAATAAGCCAGCAGGAAAAAGAAAAATACCGGATGGTTTCACTTAAAGCAGGAATATAGGGGAACCAAATAAGACATCAGTGAAAAAAATTAATAGTACAAAACACAACAAAGCAAAAACGACAATTATAAACCAGAAACATACTTCAGGGGAGGAGGAGGAAGAGGGATCAGAGGGAGGGAGGGAGGAGCACAGGGGACTGAGGTGATGGTGCACGGGTGCATTGGCGAAGGAAACTCTATGGGGACTACACCTGAGGGAGTGGGAGGAAGAAATATTGTTTAAAAATAAACAATGATGTAAAATTTTTTTAAAAAAATTAAAAAAAAAATACATTTCTATTTTTTTAGGGTGGCTTTAGTTAGAACGTATAAGTTCCCTGATGGATTCTTGGTTTTAGCCCTTCTTGTATTCTTATTGCCCATCACATATAATGTGCTCCAAAATGTTGAAATGAGAGGCATAACAGAGATAGAAAATGGTATTGCTTTCTGGTAGGTGCTACACTAATCTAATTAAAGTGAGAAAGTGAAAATTTCCTTGATTGTTTAGTCGATGCTCATGAAGCCTATTTTGGGGCTTAAATTAAAATTGGTACTCTAAAACACAAACTGTCTTGCTATCAACAAAATTGTAATTTTTAAGAAGTCTTGCCCTTCTCAAAAGCAATGTTTCAAGTACATAGGAAAAAAATTATATGTGGTGGGTAGATTAAAAGCTGTTCAGATATGCTCATCAGCTGACTTTAGAGAGATTGTACTGGATTATTTGGGTGGATCAAATGTGGGAGGAGGTGGCAGAAGGCCAGACCAGAATGATGTGGAGACTCAACCACTGCTGTTGGCTTTGAGATGGACGAGAGGGGCCATCAGCCAAGGAATGCAGATTCTGGAAACTGGGAAGGGCAGAATATATACTTCCCTAGAAGCTCCAGAAGAAATCTAGCCCTGCTGACAACCTGATTTTACGCTAATGAGACCTGTCTTAGACTACAGCAATTGAAGATAAATTTATGCTTTTTAAGCCACTAAGTTTGTGTTGTTATGATAGCAATGGGGACTGATGAAATAAAACCTGTATTTTCAAATAGGGATCTTAAAACTATCAGTTCATTTAATAATTTTTATCTCCAAATGTGTTTGCAGATGTCGGCGTGTATTGATAGCTCAGCATTTTGATGAAGTGTGGAACTCTGCAGAGTGTAACAAAATGTGTGATAACTGCTGTAAAGACATTTGTGAGTTTTTTTTTTAAAGATTTATTTATTTATGCATACAAGAACTGAGCCAGAGATGTGGAGGGTGAGAGGACTCACCACAGTGGGGAACAGAACAGGCAGAATGACTGAAATAACACTGCTGAGGGGAGCAGCGGGTGAGTCAGGAGAAGTCTGCTGTGCCATGTGGTTAGCTCCCTTGCCAGCCATGGATCGAACTCATGCTGCAGTGGCTGTGGATAGCTTCATAGGTTGCATCTTAACCCCTTGTACCACCAGAGAGGCCCTGTGAGTTGTTTTTTAAACCTTTATAGGCTAATATATAGTTAGGACTACATGAGGGCACATTATACCCCCAAATGGATTAAAAATATCATACAAGGTGTGAATCAGATTCAGAAGTTGCACCAGAGCGTCGAAACAAATGCCACTAGGGCACTTCTTTAGAATAGTAATTCTTGGCCAGAGCCCCTATATAAAGATTACAGTTTTTGCCATGGCTCTGTGGGTTTTCTCTAGGCACTTGGTAGGGTCCTTGGCATATCAAAATTGTCCCACTGAGAGAGTGTAGCACCCTGCAATGAATGGGATGCTGCCTGGTGTCCTGGGTTGCTGGGGTAGGCTCTGGCCACCCAAGAATGTATGGGTTGGAAAAGGAATGAATAAATTCCTGTTTAATATTAAAAGTGTTTTGGGTCTTTGTTTATAAGTTTGGTGATGTTTCTGTGACCAGAAATACACCACAGGATTTAACACGTTTGTATCAACTGGGCCATGATTAAATTGGTTTCGTGATAAAATTGGTTTGATGATTTGTTGTTCATTTTGCTTAAAGTTGCAGTTTCCAAGACCCTACAACGTTAAGTGAGGACTAACTGTGAGGAAAGATTTGTTTTATGTTGCTATACTGAATGCAAATGAAATTTTTAAGAAATGCAGGGAAAATTGTAAATTACTCTGAATTAGAATGCTATTTATATCAAAAGGACTAACCTTGTGATAATCTAATACCATAGCTGGAAAGTGAAATTTAGTGCAAAGTAGACTTTTGATCCAGGCAGCAGCTCCTCAACAATAACTTAGCAGTTTTGATGCTGTATTTGATCCTGTGTGTATGTGCTGGATTTGGAGAGCTGGACTAACCAGTTCCTAATACAAAGCTTTCCTGAGTTCTGATGCCTTGTGGGTGGAGGTAAGCAGACAACCTGCAGCAAGAGAAACCTGTTTGCGAGTTTATGTGACTGTCTTTTGCTGACTAACAAGACTGATATAAAAATCAGAGTGCTGGTTCCTTAAAATAGGGGATCTCTACCCAGGGTATTCTTGTCTCTAAATCAGAGTACCTGGAAACCACACTAGTCTGTAAAGTAGTGCTTAATGAGCATAAATCAGGTAAATCTGAAGAACAGACTGGCTTTCCTGGAAGTATGCCTTACAAACTGCCCATGTCATGTCTGCCAGACACTTTGGTTCCAGGAGCTACCACAAGGCCTTCTGATAACCAGGTTATTTATATTTTTAAAGATTTATCTGTTTATGCCTATAAGGACTGGGGTGTAGGCCAGAGGTATGGGGGATTAGAGGATTCATCAGAGACAGAGTTGGGAGCAGAACAGGTGGATCTACTGAAATACACTTCTGAGGGGAGCAGTGGGCGAGACAAGAGAGGTCTTCTGTGCCACATGGGTTAGCTTCCTGGCCAGGGATCCAACTCTTGCTGCAGTGGCTGGTGATAGCTTAATAGCACTGAGGCTTTAACCCCTGCACCACCAGGGAGGCCCTAACCAGGTTATTTATTCCTCAAGTCCCAGAGACTTGAGGAAGAGGTTGGCCTTAATTAGGACATTAACAAATCCACTGATTTAGAGTGACTCATGATGATGGCTAGATTTAAATCAGTCAGACCACTTAGGACAGCCTTTCCTTGCCCAGTTTCTAAACGTGACTCTCTATAACTGTCTCCTCCATGACAGCATTTGAAAGAAAGAATGTAACAGAACATTGCAGAGACCTAATCAAGATCCTGAAGCAGGCAGAGGAACTGAATGAAAAACTCACCCCACTGAAATTGATAGATTCCTGGCTGGGGAAGGGGGCAGCAAAACTTCGAGTAGCAGGCGTGGCTCCTCCCACACTTCCTCGTGAAGACCTGGAGAAAATGATCGCGCACTTTCTTCTACAGCAGTATCTTAAGTATAAACAAACCCATTTTTTGGTTTTCTTGTCTTAATGATGTTATATCCACTTTTTTGTAATTTGCAAAGAAACCCCCACAACACAGTACTTTCTATAAAGATATTTGCATTCTTAGGGCATAAGCTTCATATATCAATGTTCCTTAAAATCACTACTTAAGATAATCTGAACACCTAAATATTTTACTAACTTAGGTTTTTACTATGATGTCTTAAAACCTGATTGTTACTCTTATCTTTTGCAGAGAAGATTACAGTTTTACAGCTTATGCTACTATTTCATACTTGAAAATAGGACCTAAAGCTCATCTTCTGAATGGTGAGGCACATGTTATTACCATGCAAGTAAAGAAGCCTAAGCAGAGCTGTTTCCAGGTAACTCACTACTGACTGAATTGAAAGCCTACAACTGCTTTTCTTTAATTAATACTCTCCTTGGTCAGCTGAACACGAGATCAGTTATGTGTAGATTTTGGGTGTGGGGTTCAGACTAGCCTTTCATTTACTTAGACACACACACACACAAATACGAAAACTGTTTTCTAGTTTTGAGATGCAACCCACCCTTGTGATACTGGTCATGATCACTACTGGTTGGGAAGTCTGCCTGTCTTATACATGAAATTTTACAAAGCCTGCACAGTATGCTATGAACTTATGACTAGGGACACTTCACGTGGTCTTAAAGGTTTCTCTCACAGCCCAGCCACTTTTATTTTAAATTGGGCTCAAATTTAAGTAGAAACTGAAAGATAAAAAAGCAAGACACTTACATAAGGACTACTGAAATTATTAAAGTAGAATAGCTGAATTTTTAACAGTGCTCACTTTATTATTTTGTAGACTGAATCTTCTCAAACTTGTCATTCTGAAGGAGCTAAGAATAAGAAAGAAGGAAAAAATCCAGGTAACTTCCAGAAGCCTGCAAACATACTTCAATCTGATTCTAAGAAAACAGGGGCTAAGAAGAGAAAAATTGATGTATGAGATATTTTATACATGTGGAACTGTATTTTCAGAACTTTCCTCTGAGGTATTTAACATTTGAGATCATTAATTATATAATTTTATAAAACAAGGGGATCGTGTTTTATGCAAAATCCTTAAATATAAAAACACAGAAGTTCGCACAGCTACCTTAAAGCTTTTTCTGTGTTGATATACCTAGTTGTATATCAAATGTTGTTGTAATGAAAATTCATACAGGCTCATCATAGAAAGTGAGTGACTTCAGGTTAGAATAACAGGTGTGGAACCTAAAAAAAGGAGACTAAGGCATCAACTACAAACATTAGTTAAAAGAATGTATTAGTATAAATATTAGCAAGTATGATAGTGCTACATCTGTTTAAATAAAATAAAATTATAATGTTCTTGAAGTCACATCCCTGTCTCAATATTTTATAATCAAAGAATGACTGGTCTACTAACCAAAGATACTCCAGCCAAATCACAAAATGTGTTTAAATTTAAAATACATTTATTTGAAAATAATTTATATTCTCACATAACAAGTGGTCAATTTTGTGTTAAAAAATCTATAAGTTATTTAATTCCATCATCTTTTTATCACTTTCACTGAATCATTATCACGTCTGTATTTTTAGCTTCAATGTTAGTCATCAGTAAAATCAGTGCATCACTTACTCTGTTGTGACTTTGTGTTATTTGTGTTTCTTGTAATGCCCACTTTAGTCAAAATAATCTTCTATATCAATATTTGGATCTAACAGATCTTCTCCATATGATGCCAGATTCATTTGGTTTAAGATTAAGTTTTCAAATGTTTCTTCTAAATCAGTTTCACCAATTAACACAGCTCCCATCATCCGCCCATTTTGCATGACGACTTTAATGTATTCTTGTCCTTTGGTACATCTCAGCATTAATTCATGATCTGAACCCAAACCCTGTGCATTGTATTTTCCCAGCAGCACAACCTATACAGAGAGGATAGAAAAATTACCATAATAAGTACCAAAAGGAAGCATGAGATGCACTTATCACAAAACCTCTCACTAGTGAGGGTCCCACAGATAACAGCTAAACAGCATTCATTTATTTTACAGATGATACAACCACACAAATATCAAAAATATAGAAATATATAGGATGTGGACTACATTAGCCTGGAGCTATGATTTAAAAATTTAATAATGAACTGAAATAAAGAGTTTTATCTTTAATGGGCAAGTGATTTCATCTCCCTGGATGTGTATGTTTGCATCTGTTTCTCCTTATCTACAAGTTAGGAAGGAAAAAAATCCTGCTTCAGTAATTAAGAGGATTAAGACAGTATGTATGGGGGAAAACACCTGATTCATTCTTGAGTATGACAGCTGTTAGCTCCTTTCACAAAGAATGAATTTCAAAATTCAGAACTACTCCAACAGGGAACAAATCTGGAGGAGACTTCCCTCTTTATGATAAAATAGAGTGGAAAAGTAGATAATAACAAAACTAAGATCAGCAATGACAAGTAAATAATATCAAGATAGTATAGTGGAAAGGTAGATAATATCAAAACTAAGATCAGCAATGACAAGTACAAACAAAAGTTAGATACTAATTTGCTAATTTTACCTTACAGTTAAAAAATTTTGTCACGTGAGCAAAAAGTTCAAAGCTGAAATCCATGTCAATAGAGTGTCCAGAAGCATCTGCAGCTATGCACTTGGCTGTGTACCAGCCCATCTGTCTAGCCTGTGTCCACAGCCTCATCTGAAATACAAATAAAGTTACCATGTTAACCTCGTAAAATTCTTTACAGGGATTCAATGTTTTACAGTCCATGAGATTTGTTAGAACTAGCGAGTTTGAGAACTGCTTGACTCATCTTTGCCACAGAAGCAATCACCAATTTACACGAACAGACTGGACTTTGATATATGGCAATTCTATCTAAATTACTCTAAAATTATAGGATGATACTTAGATATTTTTTGAGTCTCCAGAAAAATTTATTTTGTGATATTCCACAAAGTCAGCGGTAACAAAGGTTAAGGCATTACATCATTACATTTTTTTCTTTTTTTAAATTTTTTTCTTTATTTTAATATTTTATTTTATATAATTCTTACATCTTTTTTCATCTTTGCACAATGTATGCATTTTCATTTTGGTTATAGTCCCCATACAATTGCACCTCCCCCCTTATTTTGACTCTAGTCCTTCCCTCCCCTCCTCGGGTAGTATGTCTCTGGTTTACAGTTGCATGGTATTGGAACAAGAACAGACACACAGACCAATGGAATTGAATAGAAAATCCAGAAATAAACCCACAGATTTATGGTCAACTAATATTTGACAAAGGAGCAAAGAATATGCACTGGAGCAAAGAAAGTTTGTTCAATAAATGGTGCTGGGAAAACTGGGTCACTACATGCAAAAGAATGAAGGTTGACCACTACCTCACACCATGCATAAAAACTAACTCAAAATGGATTAAAGAACTAGCATAAGACCTGAAACCATAAAATACATAGAAGAAAATATAGGCGAAACACTACATGACATGTACCTCAAAGGCATCTGTACAGACACATCACCCAAAGCAGTGACAGTGAAGGCAAAGATAAACAGCTGGGACTACATCAAATTCAAGATACCTAGATTTTATTAAAAATTACTAAAATACTTCAGGTTATAAGAGGTGGGGATAAAATTTTAATTGTAACTTACAAGTGTGTCCCTTTCTCTAACCCTCACTTTTTAGTGCTAGACAGTTTAGTCCTACCATACAAATAAACCTCACTGGCCAGGACAATTACTGTTTGGTGCCCAGCCCCCAAAATATCATAGCAGATTTCAGCAGCTGATTCTGGGAAGTCATTTTAATTTTACAACTACATTAGTTCCTCTTCTTACTTTCTCCTTTGTAAACAAAGTAGATACAATGAAGAGGCAGTCTATGATAAGGGAGCTGAGTCTAAGAGTATACTGAGAACAGTAAAAACTACAGAATCACTGTTAGAAGTGGCCTGTGATATTATACAGCTGGACTATTACCCTAATGTGTTCCAGTCCCAAAGACCTTTAAGTTTGTGTCTTAGACATTTTAAAATAAATGTTTCTGCAACTTAAGGGGTTTACTAGATTCACTCAGAACAGACATCTTCAGTATATGTCAGCATGACACATTAAGGATATAATTTATCCTAGAGAATATAATATTCAATACCCACTTATGATAAACTCTCAACAAAGTACATAGAGGACGTATACCTTAAATAATAAGGGCCATATATGAAAAACCACATCTAATACCGTATTCAGTAGTGAAAAACTGGAAACTTTTCCTTGGAGATTTGAACAAGACAGGATGTCCACCGTTCATCAGTAATACTCAACATAGTTTTTAAGTCCTAGCCAGAACATTATGGCAAGAAAAAGTAAATCCAAATTGGAAAAGAAGTAAAACTAGGGGCCTCCCTGGTGGTGCAAGTGTTAATGTCTCAGCGCTATCAAGCTATCACCAGCCACTACAGCATGAGTTTGATCCCTGGCCAGGGAGCCAACTCACGTGGCACAGCAGACCTCTCCTGTCTCGCCCACTGCTTCCCTCAGCAGTGTATTTCAGTAGATGCACCTCTTCTGCTCCCCACTCTGTCTCTGGTGAATCCTCTCACCGCCCCCCTGGCCCCCACACCACCCCATGCCACCTCTGGCCTACACCCTAGCTCTTGTATGCATAAATAAAAAATTTTTTAAAAAAAGTAAAACTAGCACTATCTGTAGATGATTGGTGACATATTTAGAAAACCCTAAAGATTCCACTAAAAATCTATGAGAAACAATGAGTAAAGTGGCAGTCTACACATTTAATATACAAAAATTTATTGCATTTCCACATGTACTCTGAAAACAAGGTATTGTTAAAAGAAATAAAAGACACAGAGATGGAGACATATCCCTTGTTCATTCCATAAAGAAACGGAATATCCAAATCTACAAAGAACTCACACAAGTCAACCAAAAGTAAACAACCCAATGAAATGATGGGCAAAAGATCTGAATAGATACTTCTCCAAAGAACATATGCATGGTGCCAACAGGTATGTGAAAAAAATGCTTATTAGGGAAGTGAAAATCAAAACCATTTACAGGTGATCTGACTAGTTGACAAGAAACAAAGTGTTGATGAGGATGAGGTGAAAATGGAACCCTTGTACACTGCTGATGGATATTTAAACTGGTGCAGCCACCATGTAAAACAGTATGTTGGTTCCTCTAAAAATACCATATGGCACAGTAATTCCACTTCAAAGAATATGAAAACAGTAATTTAAGAAGATATATGCTGCCTTATGTTGTCTGTAGCAGTAGTCACTAGGGCCGAGACATGGAAACAATGTTAACGGTCCACTGATGGATGGTTGAATAAAGACGATGGTGAATATAAGCCAAAGCATTATTACTTGCTAAAAAAAAAAAGGTAACATGAATGGACCGTGAGATGATTATGCTAAGCAGAATAATTTTATATTCATGGAATATAAAGAAATGAAGCAAAACCGTAGACCCTGACAATAGAATGGTGGTTACCAGAGGGGGTGCGACGGTGGTGGGAGACGTGGGTAGAGGGGAGCCAATTGAATAGTGGTGAATAGCAATCAGACCTTTTTGGTGATGGGAGTGGTGTGGTATCAACATTTATCAAGATGTTATATAGTGTTGTAAACCAATGATACGTTCAGTAAAAGCTTTCAGTAAAAGCTGTTTTTTAAAAATCCCACCAATTACAATTCTTAATTGAGAGTTTGTGATAGATATGCCATAAATAGAATGACCATAGAGAAAACATGCTAATTTGAAGCATTTTAGAGACAAGCTGAATGCACTCTTATTCATGTTATTTCTCTTATGAGTGAAAACATAAAATAGTGAAGCTGACTTTTAAAACATATTTAGCTCTTCCACTATTTCACAATCCACAGTTAATCTGAATGAAATATATCTCCACCTGTGAAGCTGGTCTTGTTCCCATATAGTGTTTTCTAGTCCTTTTCCTCATAACATCTACCCTTGCCTCTATTCCTCCTACGACAACCTCACTATGGCCACTGGGTAGATTCTTGTAGTACAGCTGACTCTGGACAAGGATTGGCATGGCATGGGCCCACCTGTAAATGGTGTTTCTTGTAAACAGACAATGTAAATGTACAGTATTGATAAATTCAGTACAGTACCATACAGGTACACCAATGATTTGAATGACATTTTTTTTCTCGCACTTATTTCATTTTAAAATACAGTAAATAACACATGTAACATAAAAAGTATGTTTGTTACTGATAAGGTTTCTGGTCAACAGTTGGCTATTCAGTAATTATTAGGTGGTTAAAAGTTATAGGCAGATTTCTGAACGGGCCAACACTGCGAACTCCTGAGTTGTCCAAGCTGAATTTTGGATCCATCATTAGGAGGTGGTAACACTGTGGAGGCAGGAAGAAGTCTAGAGGCAGCTGGAAGGAGCTGTTAGGCTCAGGAAAGGATGTTTGCTATAGTTACATTTTTTTCATTAATAATTCCCATAGACACAGAACAGGGTCAGCAGAAACAGAATGCTTTACCTATATGGTTTATGTCTGTGGTTTGTTTTTAAGTCAAAAACTACAGCGTCCAATATGGTAGCCACATGTAGCTAAAGATAAATTAAAAAAAATTAAAATTCAATTCCTCAGTCACATTAATCACATTTCAAGTACTAATAGACACGTGGTTAGTGGTTACCTGACTGGACACTGCAGCAGTACAGCACATTTATCATCTAGTTCCAGTGCACAGTGCTGATGAACATCTGAGAATGACAAATAGCTGAGAATTCTTTTTAAGTTAAAAGATAACTATACAATAAGTTACCAAAGGCAAGAATGCTAATGATGCCACAAAAAAAAGCTTATTTATTTATTTATTTTTTAACTTCAAGTAGACAAGTTGGAAAACTAGAAAGCTGGATTTGCCCACAGCAACTCCTTTATTTTCTGGGATGTCTGGTACAGATGTGAGCCCATGTGCTGGCTTACCTGCTGCCAGAAGGGGCTGTGCTGCCAGGCCGCAGTGCAGATGTCACCTGCAGCATAGATGTCAGAAAGGGAGGTGTGCATGTGATCATCCACTTTCAAGCCACCATCTTCTCCTAGATCAAACTAAACAAGGTTCCTCATAAGCACAGGTGGTAAGAAAGATGAAACATGACTTTTGTATTCTAAACTAATGCAACAAGTCAAATTTTTGTATCTCAGCGTACTGTTGTTTAACGAAAAACAGCTGCAAAGTTTAGACTACTGAGCTAGCCAGGGAATGAAACTCCAATTAACCTAGACAAAGCCATAAAATTCTCAAGAATTTCAACATCAAGAATACTTAGTAACCATATGACTACCCCACACAAAATTGCAAAAAGATATTTTTATAAGCTTCAAATGCTAAAAAAGAACTACAATATAGTTTCTCTAAACAAATCACTTTTAAGAATTATAGCAGGTGTCACTCTCTTACCAACCTTTAGATACATAAACTGCACTATGTTCCATTAATGTTAAAATGCTGGGATTCTCATCTCTGATTAAGGACTTTGAGCAGCAAATATTGTAAGTCAAGACACTAGGAAAAACTAAGTATTTTTCAGTCAAGTTAAAATTTTGTACTAAAACAGTAAGTACTCATGCTTGAGAACTAGTGATCTTCATAAATACTTTAAAATATTCATAATGGGACAAAGATGTCACCTTACGTTATTGCCATTGACAAAAGGTTCTATATTTGGTGTTACTCCTGTAGCACTGACAATGAAATCACAGCCATAGATCTTTCCATTGGTCAATTCCACATATACAGGCCATATTTCTTAAAAACAAACAAACATATACACATATATATATCTGTACATACATATACATACACACAAACACACAATGACTATAACAAAGAAAAGAGCAGAGGTAACTTTAAAGCAGCACTGCTTATAACATTTTATAAAGCACAGCTATTAAAATCTATTTAATGCCATCAACATTATGTCATTGTTTTGGATGTGACTAACAAAAGAATGGTATTCCCCAAATTTTTTTCTTTAAATTTTAACATAGAAATCTAACAAAGTAAATTTATTGATCACTTATAAATTACTACTTTAGAAGTCTATTATATTAACATTGTAGCAGATTGTAGGCCACTCGCTTTCCAGTGCCTTCCTTACTAGCCTTATCTCACACTGGTTTGGTTGAGTGTCTTTCAAATCCATGGTAGTTCTCAGAGGTGGTGAGAAATTTAATCTGTTTCTTAGTCCCACATTTACAGATTTTTCAATCTGATTTTGGGACAGTCACTTCACCTCTGAGAATACTGGTTTTTCTTTACTTAATTTTTATTAATTTTCTTTTAACCTGTAAGATATTGCTTGATTCACAGGGTTGTAATGGTCAAAACACCATGAGTCCTTTGTGAAATATAAAACTGTGTAATTTACTATAAAATCTAAAGAATTAAATAGTGAAAATGAAATAACTTACATTATTAAATTATGGTTTATTTTTACGTTTAAATTTTGTATGGGAACCTGAAGTTTTAAATAATACAGCAAGATTAAATTATCCTTGTGAAAATGATTATAATATATATTTTCTTACTTCATTACTTACCTGTCTCAGTTGTAACTGACTGATTATGATGGTCTTTTGGAAAAATCAAAGACGTTTTCTTAGAAATTCTAAATTCTTCCTGAAGGTAGATTTTTTTTACTTCACACACAGTTTCAATGTGAATCTTACGAGAAAACTAAAATAAAGAAATACTGGTCACTATACTTGTAGAAAGTATAGTGGAAAATTTATATTTGTAGTAACATATAGAAAAATGAAAACACACCACATGGCCCAAAATAAGCCTTTCAATTTCTGTGCATAAAGGGCATAGAGATTAATCATTGAGAACAGAGAGATCTAGTGGCTCCAGTGGCAAGTAGCTCGAGTGCCTTTTAATAGAAGATTCATTGATAACTACATGGCTATATATTTTTAAATTACAACTCTGAGACAATAAAAACTTCTGCGGACAGGTCTTATGAACTAAATGTTAAATCCCAGAACCTTAATAAAATGCCAGGTAAGTATGACATATTTAATAACTGTTCATGGAAATAACTTGAAGTTTCCTGGTTAAAATTACTATTAATCTTAGAATCTGAAGGCTCAAGAAGAACTGATTTTTGCCTCATTTCCAACAGGAATATTAGATACACATGCATCCAGCCTCCCTTCCAGCTACCCAAGGCTGTAAAGAAATCATACATAGTAATCAGAACTGCAGGTATGCATCTTGCAATACTTAAATATCAAAATATTTTAACCATTGATAACAAACTAAAATTTCCAGAAGTAAAATCAGTAAAAGTAGTCATTTGCTTCTCCAGTTAGGATATGAAATGTGTATTTTATTTAGAATCTAGTAAAATAATCTTACATTTCACAATGCATCTGTGGTAACCTCTGAGAAGTCATTAATTTAAAACAGGACAGTCTGGAGCCTGTGTGTGGAGATCTCCAGCCCTGGAGATTTCAAAAGGAGGCTGAGAGTCAGGTTTAGATGACTCTACTATCCATCAGTCTTTGGTGGGCAACTAGGTCAAGTTGCTGTGAAGTCCTTTTATAACACTAGGGATGTAAGTAAAGTGACCTAGTGACTATGTGACTGTGTCTTCATAACCAGTCTTTCACAAAAATTTTAAGAACTTCAAGTTGCATTTAGACCTATTTAATCAGCATACGAAAATTTACCTGTTTTGTTCCTTTAAGATTCAAGCCTTCGTGCCAGTCAGGTCCCAAAGCACTGCCTAAATTGTTAGCATTCACTTTCATTTCTCCTTCCTTCTTCCTTCCTAAAGCGTTCAAAAATTCAAATGATTTAAAAGTCATGAGCAGAGAATCATGCTTGTGTCTGAAGAATTTAGGCAATATGATTCTCATTTATACATACAGCATGACTAAACACAGTTATCTCTATTCATTAATTGTTATTTCAAATACTTTCTAATGTAAAGCTTTAAGTTTTTAATTGAGTGTTGAGTATAAACACTCAAGTGAGTGCTGGATATCATATACATTAGTTAATAAGAAAATTAACAATCCGATTTTCAAAATACATTTTTTAACTATCTAGTTATAAAATTCCCGAATTTAGGAAGCTAAAGGTTAAAGAAAAAAAGTTCTTTAAAAAAAAAAAAAAAAAGTTCTTTTAAACTAAAGCACTGTGAGGTTTGTATTATATTTAAATCTCATTGTATTTTTTAATAAAATTATGTTAGGTTTTGTCCACTTATAACATGTACTTGTAGATGGGCTGGCTTAATTTACTTTATACTTTCAGTTTTAATTATAAATATTTTTCTAAAAATATCTATTTAAAAAACCCTTAAGTTACACAGGAATAAATAAATAAATAAATAAATAAAATAAATACACAGGAAAAAATATAAATATATTTATATATATTACTATCTTCCTAATAGATTGCTAAATTTTCTTATAACAATTTTCTGTATGGTTAAAAAGTAAACCGTTTCATATATGAGTAAATGAGTTGGATGCTACTTTTACCTTCAGTTGTATATTTGGTTCTTTTATGTGCAATTTTAGCCTCTGGGTTTTCAGCAGTGAGCTTTGATGTCAAGAATTCAGCTGCCCCTGCATCAAAGAAAGTATTCCCAATAGCTTTATCTTTAATGGCCCAAATTACTTCGCAGCCTTCAACTTCATACCTAAAAAGAACATTCAATTTAGTCATAGCAGTTTCAAAAGTTGGAGTAGAAATTTTCCTATTTGCAACTAACAATGATCTCTAAGGTGAAAGTAAATATAGTATTTTTAAGGCAAAATGAGGGAGCATGATTATAGAAACAAGGTAATAAATACTCTTTCAAGATAAAAATTAAAGTACAATAAGCAACAGAAGAATTTTAACCACTTTACTGAACAAGTATGCAAGGGACAAATACGTAGGTACTGAGTATGAGGTAAAATTTCAGTACAATGAACACTACTTCAAAATGTTCAGTTTCGACAATACAGCTCTTTAGAATCGCCCCCAGAGTTCCAAGGAGTAAACTTTGTTATCTGGTTATAGTGTAATAATGTATGGAATCATTACATATTCCTTGGTTACAAATATCTTATATACTCAAAACACAACATTACAGAAAGAGAAAGAAGAGATTTAGAGATATAAACTATTATCTTAACCTTGTTACAAAGGAACCATTATCCTGCAGTACTTCCCTTCACATCAGAGATTTCCAAGGCACCCAGACAAAGACACAAAGTTCACAGAAAATCAAGGATTTTAGAGGAAGAAAGGAATGGCCTTGGAATATATATAAGCCACTTTCCATTCCTGACCATGAACAAGGTTTGGACACTGTGACTGTGCTTGTAATACTCATTTCCCAAAGTCTTCGAACTCCATTATAATTTACCTGCAGACTTGTTTTTTGGAACAACTGATGAAAACTGGGACAATTCTGGACAAACGGGCGTTACGGTCAAGCTGACTATTTCAGGATTTACTTAAACTTGCAATGGTAATAAGAGTATCATGTTAAAGTTATTAAGTTTTCACACTTATAGTGCAGTGTTTATTTTGCCATCTTTAATAGACCGATATAGAGTGACACAATGAGATTATATGACTTTTCAGAAATAAGCAGATGCTTATATAAGCAAGGCTAAGCAGATGATAAAGATTCAGTAAATGTGACGTCGGAAGGAGCCTGTTGCCTTGTCCATCGAGCCTTCATCACTGCTGCTCTCCTATGGCAGCAGAGAATGTTTAATTACTGAATTTCAAATTTTTTGGAGAACACAGCTATTCTATTCAGGTTGGCTACCATTATGGATGAACAGAAAGTAGAATGCACAAACATTTGGTACTTATACAGTTCTTGTATTTAAATTTACATATAAGCATGGTTGTAGTGAAATGTTTTAATTTTTATAAACTGGAAATTTCTCTGTGATAGTTCTGTATTTTAAAGTAGTGTAAAAGTGTAACACATGCCACTATAGGTTAAAATACTGATTCTTGATCAGCAGGCCAGTTACCGCAAGTTACCAGCACTGACTGACGGGTATGGCACTCACAGGATACCCTCTCATCTCCTTACCCTATGAACTATGTCCTCAAAAAAATGCATAAACAAGAAGGTATCGTTACACATGAACAAAATAATGCTTTCCTTTTTTAAACCACACTTCAAAGATAGCAATGAAATATAATTTTGTGAAATTATGAGAAAAATTCGCCTCAGAGACTCACCTCATGAGGAGAATAAAAATACCCACTCAGTGGGCCTAAACTGAAACAATTCTACCATGTGGACATTCCTTAAATTGTCAGTTTACTGAATATACAATTACGACTTTATCCAATTATATAGTCTTCAATCTCCAACCTAAAGAAAATGAGGGACAGGACTAAGGGTTGTGAGGCCCTGTGCATTTTTGGATGTAAGAAAGTTTTTCAATGTAAGTAATAGCTCTGTTATGCTTTTGTTGATAGCTGATGGAGAACAGCTGTCACATGCCTCCCCTCTCCAGGCCAGTGTGGCTGACTTTCTAGTTGTTCCTCTAGTTCTCCATACAATGCCACAAATGCCATAATTGCAGTGACTGCCACTCACCTTATTTTCAAACTGGGATTCACCAGTCTCTAAAAAAGAGGGGCAACAACCCAGTTTGAGAGTTGGAATGGACAAAAATGAGAGAAGAGGGGATGTTAGCGGATTCCCTACTGTGATACAAATTTGTTCTCTTTGTGGTGGTATCAATTTTCTACCTGAAAAATAGCTAGACTATTCATGTCAGCTACCAGCTGGAAGATAAAATCACTAAGAAAGTTATCTGAACTTGAAATATCATCTTACAATGACTATATTTTATTGACAAGTTCACAGTTCTTGAATTTCCCAAATAACAAGAACTGGGAGTGCCACATGTCCTGAAATACAGACACAAACACTTTAGATTTCACAAGACAGACAGCTAATATTAATGAGTGAAGCAGGATGGGTGTAAACAATAAAAAGTAGTGAGGTAGGGGTAGAAATCTCCAAAGGTATGCACACTTAAATTGTTTTTCAATATACAACTATGGGTTAAATCAAATCATGTCTGCAACTACGAATTTCATGAAAGCTAAAAAAATATTTTTCTCCCTAAAAACACATGAAAAACAGTTATATTTATGATTTTCAGGCAAACAAGATGTTTTCTAGTCTGCCAATAATCACATGAATTACAGAAAAATTCTTAAATATTAGAATATGTATATATACTTACACTAGTTCAAGTGCAATACCACCATTCCCTATGATTATTATTCTTCTAGCTGTGATAAGTTTTTTCTGAAATTCCTGTATTCAAAAGAAAACAACATTGTTGTTTTATAACAGTGGGCAATACTTGAAGCAAGAGGCTTCATCAATATTCCTAAGAACAACAACATAAATCTCACTTTCCTACTCTGCCAGGATGTACCATCTCAATTAGTGTCACAAATTTTCCCCTCAATGTTTCATTCCACACTGCCTTGATGGCAGTGCCTCTACTGATTTTCCTTGCATTTTATATCATCACACTTAAGAGTACTTCAGAATTTAAGACACTGTCCTTAGCTTACCACATTCCCAATCATTTGACCAATTTACTAACATGACAGTGAACTGTACCCTAACTAACAGATTCAGCCTTTCCTTCCAGTTCCTCACTGAACACTTTTCTTGGAATAACTCAGCATGTAGAACTTGCAGGAATGAGAAGCACAGCAGCACAGTGGTTAAGAGCACAGACTACAGAGTCCTTGGCTCTAGCAGTTACCAACTAGGTGACCTTGGGCAAGTTGCTTAACTTCTTTGCACCTGAGGTTCCTATACTATAAATGGAAATTAGAAGCATCTGTCTTGTAAGGTTTCTGTTAAGTATTAAGATGATGCAGATAACGGGCCTCCCTTGTGGTGTAAGGGGTTAAGACACAACCTATGAAGCTATCCGCAGCCATTGCAGCACGAGTTCGATCCCCGGCCAGGGAGATAACCACATGGCATAGCAGACCTCTCCTGACTCCACCACTGCTCCCCTCAGCAGTGTATTTCAGTCAATCTGCCTGTTCTGTTCCCCACTCTGTCTCTGGTGAATCCTTCCACCCCCCCCCACCCCCGCCGCCACGCCTCTGACTCATATCCCATTCTTGTATGCATAAACAAATCTTTAAAAAAAAAAAAAAAGATGATGCAGATAACGCTTAAGAATAGCAGGCACATAATATCTTCACATTTATTGGAAAATAATGTTATTACCATTATAAGACTCCTCGTTGATGCCTCAATCCCTCACTCCCCACAAAACTGATTCAAAAATTCATTGTAATATTCAATAAATAATCATCAAAACTAACTCCTTTAACATTCTACAAGGAAGATCAAGTTAATTTTAGTTTGTTTTTCACTGAGGGAAGTAAATAATTTTAGAGATCTGTAAAATGTACTGGATGTGGAGTTTAAGCTGTACTTCTGATAACTAAACTTACAGGGACATATTACTTAATTTCCCCATCGCAGTTTTCCATTTTCAGAGTGGGAGTAGTGACTGTCACACAGAATTACCATGAGGATCCCTTACATACAGGAGCCTGGCTGGCACCTCATTAGGGACTCAGTCTTTGATAACAGGTCCTTTTCTTTGACCCTCCCACCTCAAGTGTGAACTGATAATGAAGTCCTCCCAGTTTTCTCTAAATTCCTGATTATTTAAGAGGCTGAAAGAAAACATTGTTAATTTTCAAAAATATAAAATACTATTACATAAATGTAAAATTATCACTTCAGGAGACAACAAACTTGAGATAAGATGAAGTATTGTGATAGGAATATAGAAAAAGCTGCTTGGTAAAAGGGATCAAAAAATCCGGAAATACATAAGCAGAGTTGTACAAGGTTCCACAGATAAAGTTTCACCCTAATTAGGACAATTTATTAGTGACCCTGAGCAGAACAGTAAGCCAAATGGCTTTTTCTGTTCTAACATTCTGTCTGATTCTGTACACAAAGATCTGCATATTAATTTCTCTGGTGAAGAATAAGTTCCGCAAGTTTTGAATATGCTTTACCCATTTGGAAAAAGATCATTATATTATTTAGGTGGCAAACCACATGTTCCCAACCAAGGTGGGGTGCTGAATGTGTGAGTAATGTACACTGTAACCTTTACTATAGTGAAGATACCTGGGTATCATAATGGAAAGAACATAGAACATCAACAGGAACTAAAAAACAAATTATTAATGAAAACCCAATGGAAATCGGCAGTGATACTTTTGGTTAAATTATAAGTAGAACACTTTGAATCAAATGCAGGAAAGTATAAGAAACCTTCACTTCCTTTCTCATGACCCTACCTCAGAATGTTACCTGAGCACTGTCTGTATCGCGGATCCCCAACACATATGGATTTCCTTCACATATCAGCTTTGGTTTAGCTCCAGCACACAGACAAAGCTTCTTATATATATGCTGACGGCCATCTTCTGTAAAAATGCACTGCAAAACACACAGCAATGAAGGAGGGAAGGGAAATATATTAAGGTGTAGGTGCAAAATTTCATTTTAAATTAAAAATTTAGTAAGACAAAAGTAAAAAGTATCAAAAGTTGCCTCTCAATAATACTCAATGCTTTGCTGCAGCAATGCGAGAACTAAGTATCTAAACGTCGTCTCTAGTCCAGTGACTCATGACTGTAAAGGCCTGAGCCATTTTGAGGTTCTGATGAAAACTAGCCTTTCTCCCTTGGAGAAATCACTTTAACCTTAGAGAGTCTCATAGTATTTGGAAAGGTATGTTGACCTGAGGTTAAGTACTATGAACATTAAGATATTTTAACATTGAGCATTCTAATTACAACAGATTTGGGTGAGCCCTGGTGAACCTTTCTAATCTCAATGGAAGCCACTGAAGATCTAGATTCTAGTCAGATTACACCTTTGTATCTGTTAAAGCAGTGTTGGTAAAAGAAGTTACAATGTTTTCTTAACCTGAAAAGATTAGACATGCTAATCTTAATTCTATATTCTTAAGAACAAATAACAACTACTTTACCAACAAAGCAAATGCTCTTTGGGGATTATCTTTTCATGTAAGCGAAAAACATCTAAACTTTAAATCCCAGCAGTTTCCAGCTATAAAGTTACTTGTATTAATTTTTTTTAAAAGATTTATTTATTTATACAAGCACTGGGTATAGTCAGAAGCGCAGGAGGGTGAGAGAATTCACCAGAGTGGAGAGCAGAGCAGGCAGACTGACGAAATACACTGCTGAGGGGAGCAGCGGGCCACAGACAGCCTCAGGAGAGGTTTGCGCGCCATATGGGACCCTCACCCGGTGGCTGGGGATGGAACTGGCGTTGCAGAGGAACTGGCGCTGCAGAGGCTGCGGGCAGCTTCACAGCCCAGCGCTCAACCGCTGCACCACCGGGGAGGCCCACTTATATTAATTTTTAATAATATTGAGGAATCTAAAAATGCCTACTAGACATCCAACTATTTTAAATATCTGATTATATATATTAGTATAACACTAATTAATATATTCATGTACATCTGAATAATTTTCCATTGCATATATATGACATTTTCTCTATTCACCTACCATGGACATTACAATTGTTTCCATATCTTGGTTATTTTAAATAATGCTGCAACGAGTATCTGGTTCATACACCTATTCTAGTTAGTGTGTTCATTTTCTTTGGATAAATACCCACGTGTGAAATTGCTGGATCATATCAAATTTCTAGTTTTCATTTTGTGAGGCACCTCCATACACTTTTCCATAGTAGCTCACCAACTTACATTCTCCCCAACAGTAACTAAGGTCTCCCTTTACTCCACATGCTTGCTAACACTTATTTGTTGCCTTTTTGATAACAGCCAGTCTAACAAGTATAAGATGATTATCTCCTTGTTATTTTGATGGGCATTGCCCAGATGATCAGTGATACTGAATACCTTTTCATGTGCCAGGCCTGAATGAACACCTACAAATAAGTAATAGCCTTTACAAAGCAGATATATGTAAGGGCATGCTACTTTGAGAGATGCCAGACTTTGCTGGAAAGGTTTAGGGGCTAATATTTGTTCTGTGTTTTATTTATAAAACCTGGCAAATTACAACAGAGCACTTCACAGACACGGAGATATCTGTTACTCAGTTTACCTCTTCAGCTGCACAACAAACACCTAAACCAATAATCCAGTACAGTATAAACCATACAGGAATTTTATACAAGTCTTTTCAGGTAATCTGATTAGAACCTTAACTGACAAACATGTTATGGTAGCCAACTTTAAAACAGTTCACTACTACAAAAACAAAACCTCTTTTCATTGGCTACTGTTAAATTTTTGGAAATAGGCAAGAAGGTAAAACACTTTACCTTTAATGCACAAAGGAATATAAAGAATGGGGAAGAGAAGGCAGACTTCTCTTCTGTAGGACACTTTCAAGTGGTTACAGGAGAAAATGACTCATCAGATGCTGTAACAGAAATTCCCTCACAATTTATTACTTTACTTTTGAGCCCACCTCAATTTGCAAATAAACAGACAGGCATGTTACATGGGATATATACTACCACTATAAATACTAGAACTTATTCTGGTTTGAGGATATAAAACTTTATTTTTTCTTAGAAAAAAATTAGTACTTTTTTCCTCTCTTCTTTCCTGTCAAATGATTTGTGTTTCAAATGTATTGTATATGTGCTTTCTCCTTAGCGGAAAATTCATAAATTAGAGCTGCTTTAGGAAAAAAACTCCAAACTCTATTTTCCATCTTACCTAAAGCTCGTCTGAAGACACTGTAAACCTTAACATCCTTTCCTGTGAGGGCCTGTGTCACTCTTCTCCAACAGGTTACTGAGTCCTACTGAGTCCACAACAGAAATCTCATTCACATCTGGGCCATTTTTTCCAACAATATCCTCCTCTTGGTTCATGTCTTACATCATTTTAGACTAATGCATCACTACTTGCTCCACCCCTGACTCCATTTTGATGCTGCTATTAGATTTATCTTCCTAAAAGAAATCTTTTACATAAAATCCACATCATCGTCCCCATAAAATCTCTTCACTATTTCTCCCGTGATTACCAAACAGATAAAATTTCTTAGCACGAGACAGAAAACTTTTCTCAATCTACCTATTTTTCTGGCCTAGTCTGGCAGTCTCCTTACTTCTTTTCATCCTGATCCATGTGACAACTTCACTACTCCATAAGCCCCCTTTACTTCCTTTGGGTCTCTGAACACACAGTCTCCTTCTCCTAGAAGGTCTTCCTCCACCTGGTGAACTCTTGGTTCACCTATCTTTCAAACCCAGCTCAAATGTTACTCTGTGAAGCTTTCCTAAAATCCTAATATCAGAGCTTTGACAATATTTCAATGACTGCACTTTTTACTGTCCATTTAATTATGTTTACGTGTCTGTATTACCTATGACACCGAGTGCTCCTAGAAGAAAGTTCCTCACGTTAATGCTATTGTTTCCCAGCTCCAGTGTCAACATAAATGTTAATGCTCATTTGAAATGTGGAACCTAAAATGCTCAACCAACTAAATATATAATTCCAATAAACTCACAAAAAGGACAAATGTTTCTAATAATAGGCATCAGTGTAACTGAACTATGCATACTACAGAGTTGGGTGCTAGAAATAGTACAGGTAGGGCCTAATGAAGACAGGAAAAATTTCACCAAGGTTTAACAAATTGTCATTAAAGAAAAAAAAGTCTCTTACATGTTCTTTACTCTTCAGTTGCTTTACGCCAGATTCTATAACCTTAATATTGGGAAAGCGATTTTCTAACATGGTACTTAGTTGTTCTTCAACATCAAATTCTTCCAATGCTTTAGAAACCTGCATTAGATCAAAGAGGTAAAAAATATATCCTTGAATTTTTCATCAATTTTAAATAAAAATACTTTCATTTCTTTTTATAGCCTATAGCAGGTCATCAACTAACAGGTAGCTCCATGTTGCCCCATGAAAATGTAATACGGTAAAATAATCCATGAAATGCCATTATTGGAACACTTGCTTTCATTGTCTGTGGTTTCCAAGAATCTATCAACAGTGCCAAGTGATGAATTATTGTACTTAGTCCCTGCTCATAAAACAAGAAAGCCTGTCACCTGCACTTTCTGCAGTGGTTAGACTAGACTGAGTGGAGGCGGCACTTGAAGATTTGAGCTCAAACACTAGTTCTACCCCTTGTGGGCTAGGTAGGTCAGTCCCGGAGCCTTAGTTTCCTGGCCTATAAAACAAATGCTAAGACTACCTACTTCTATACTTTCATCAAACAGTGTACCTACTGCCTCATCCTTCTAGCCCATTAGCTAACCTTATGTGATCTAGTCTTTGAACTTTCCTATCCTCAAGGCATCGGCATCCTCTTGGACTCACTTTCCTTTGTATCCAGGTAAGACTCTACAGTGGATCATTTGTTCTTATCTTTAACAACTAACTGCCCCAAACTCCCAAATGTAGATCCACAACCTGCTTTCTCTAGTCCTACACCAATAACTAGAGAAGAACCACACCCTGCAGAATGCCCTTGCCTGCTCCCTAAACACTGCAGGGAAATCCTACTACGTGGCCCTAACAGTTCTCAAACCTTTCATCTTAGGACCCTATTATAATCACACAAATGACTGAGGATCCCCCAAAGAGTTTGTTTGTATGGTTAAACCCAGTGACATTTGCTACATTAGAAATTAAAATGATAAAAAGTTTAAATATTTCGTATTCACTTGAAAGTAACAATAAATCTAATACATGTTAAACAGATTGTCTGTATCTATCCTGGTCTCAGTCCAAGCTCCACTCCATCATCTGGTTCCCAGATTGTGAACTCAGATGTGCAGTGGTCTCATCATCAACCAGGGTTTACAGTGGCAGCTGCTGAGGCCTCCCTAAGTCTCCTTCATCTCTAGCCTGATATTCTCCCCCTTATTCCTAACCCCCAAGTCCCCTAACCCTACTTTGCTACATTTTCATAACCCTTTCAGACCCCTAGCAAGTAGAACAATCATGTAAGGAAAATATTGCTGGCTCACTGGGGGCAGGATTGGGGACCAAGGGCACCCTGCCCTACAACACTCGCCCACTTCCTACCTACCAGTCCCCATCCACCACCCAGTGCTCCCACAGGTCATCATATATTTTTCATGAAAAAAATTAGGTGAGAAGAAGGGTACTGTTCTACATTTCTGCATATCTCTGTAAGGCCGGCCTTAGGAGAAGCTAAGCTGCACCTCTGCTCTGCATTCAGACTGCAGCAGTGCACTGTTTTGGTTGGAACATGCAAAGGCAGTCTGGCCTCTCACAGACAGGCAACCTTTTTAGACAGTGGTACGGCCTCCTTTGTGTGACAGGTGTGGTCGTTAAAGGTCAGGTGGATGTGTAGCCTGACACCGGCATCTGTGCTGCACTCTGAATGGCTCTGGGAGCACCACACATGTGCGCAGGACACATTTCCTATCACTACAGTATGGAAAAATCACATTCATTATTCTCCCCCACAACCTCATCAGGAAATTGTTTAAGTATCATGATGCTCACAGTGAAGAATAGTTTTCCAAAATACTCATTTTTTGCTTAAAAACTCTAGTCCTCTCATTCTGGCAACAAATACAGCCAGTTGCTTTCCGTGAAGTGAAAGGCTTACTTGACCCATCTTCCAAATATACCCAGTTTGTTGTTTCCTGGGAAATTGATGTTCTGTGAAAAAAAGTAAATCATCTTGCAACCCAGCACTGCAACACTGTTCTTCCTTGGAACAAAGTTGCAGTATGGTCCCTGCTAAGGTCAGTGCAGTGAGCACAGCCAGGGACAGCTTCCACAATCTTCCACACTGTTACTAACCCCAAATATAGTCTATCTACCCACTTCCTTCTCAGCAAACAATACCCCTCTTATCCCAACCAGACTCGAGATACTGACAAATCCTACAGCATTTTCTCCACTGACTGTCCACCTTCTACATTCCCAAGGTGAATCCCCTCACCTGTGCTCCACACTCCTGGCCTCTCACCTCCTCAGGATGCTTTTCTCATTATGCATTCCTTGTCGGTCCTTCACCTGCAGCCTTTCCCACTGGTTTCTTAATCTCAACAGGTAAACATGATAAGGTGTTTTCCACCTTAAAAAAATAAAACTAAATACTTTTCACTGCCACCCTAATTTTTTCTCTTTGCAGCCTATTTTGAAAAGAGAAAAGTTGATTTATTTTATATTCAAGTTACCTTCCATTCATTCCTCAAAATAGTATAAATGGTCCCAGTCACCAATGATACACTAGAAATGGGTACTTAAAAATGAATCCTTTTTAAATGAGGCAACTGGGTTTTCTACACTCTATTATGATTAGAGGGTAAGGCTCACACCTCTTCAGTGCATGTCACCACATCCCAAGCACAAATTGGCAAAAACTGAACCAAAGGCTTACAACTCTGCATCGCTATGCTGAATTAAATCTCCTGAAAAGACACTTGTAAGACCTAGCCCTGCACCATTATGTGTGTGCCTTTAAGTGTATACAACAGAATATATACTTTTTTAAAAGAGAGGAACAGCCAGCATGAGTGCTTAGGTCTTTCAATCCCATTGTTCCTGTGGCTGCACCAGGTACTAAGATATCGTATGTATTTCTAAGTGTTATAAAGGAGCAGCAAAAGGCATGAAATGACCTTGGTTTTGGGGGTTTATAGCATGAGAAAGTTATATTCTATTATCAGAATATTATAAGGGAAAGCTCGTATTAAATCAAAAACTATGGTATTAGTCTTTACTGAGATGTGGGAAGATTTGTTTTCCATTTTAAATTTATTTTTGCACAGGCATTGTAATATTCATAATTGTAGGACAATGTGGACATGTATATAATTTATAAATGCACATATATTAGAAGAGTAGTGCAAAACTTTTAAGCAGGTGAAGTACCGGGTTAAAAACGTTTGTAGGGCCTCCCCTTTGGCACAGCGGATTGAGTGCAGCGCTGTGAAGCTGTCCACAACCTCTGCAGCGTGGATTCCATCCCGGCTGGCAGGGAGATTCCCACATGGCGCGGCAGACCTCGCCTGTCTCACCCGCTGCTCCTTTCAGCAGTGTATTTTAGTCAGTCTGCCTATTCTGTTCCACACTCTGTCTCTGGTGAATCCTCTCACCCTCCCGCATTTTTGGCCCGTACCCCGGTTCTTGTATACATGAATAAATCTTTAAAAAATTGTTTGCAGATCCCCTTCTATGATAATGTGTGACTCAAATGATCTTAGATCTTACTCAAATGTCATAATATATGTAATATAATATGGAACCATGAAAGATTCTATAATGCTTAATACTTATCTGAAACTGATTATCTGCTAGTGCAAACTCAACTAGAAGCTCTTTTCTTCTAATTTGTAAACACACACATATTTATAAAGACATGCATATATATTTGCATTCATATTTAGATGAGCATTGCATCTTTCCTCAAAAGAATCTTATTTATGATTTTCTGAACAGTGATTCAGTATCATTCTGAGTCCTTTTGGCAATCTGAGTAATTCTAAACTTTGAGCTTTGAATTCAGCAAAAAAGGACTAGCAAAAGACTATGTGTTACTTTAAGCAGTTTCCCACAAGTTATTGTATTTTCTTTTGGTATAACAGTTATTATTAAGAAAGTTATGTAAAGGTTCTTACCTGCTTAAAATTTGTAACTGCTTTAATTACTGGAGAAGCTGTTACCAGGAGGATATCTTCTGATGGAAACTGGACAGCCAACTTATTTAAGTAAGAAAAAAAATATGAAAAATAACTTTAGGTATTAGTATACAGGGCATGGAGAGTGAGATAGGGACAATGTTATTTATTCTTTCCCTTCCAAATGTCCAACCAGATATAAAATAGGGAAGACAAAGCATCTTCAATTATTACTTTAACATTTCAAAGTTTATCTTGCTTTGGTTTAATCACGTTCCTCTAGCCACCTCTCCTTTAAGTTCTTGACAACACTTTAACTCATAGTTCAGTTCTTAAACTCCACCAATCTCTATTTGTTCTCTACTACACCATTAAAACTGCATGCTCATTCACCTTCACATTCTGGAAGTCCCATCGGCTTCTTTTCAGTATCATATTATCCAAATTTACTAATAATTCATAATATTATCACATTTGTTATCTTTCATCTATACATTCTGTAATGATCTCCTATTTCCATTGCTAGACTAGGTTCTCAAAACATTATGCTACTAAAATTACTTTTAAAGTAACCTCCCAGCTCATATTAAACAGGTATCTTTGCCCCTGACACATAACTAATCGCCTTTCAGCTATTTTCATGTGATCACAATGGCCCTCATCTCAAAATCATTTGATTACTTGTAAGTTCCTGTGAAATTCTTAGCATGATATATAAGACCCTGTATGATTGGGTTTCCGTCAACCTTCTGGCCTCATTGCATTAGTTTCCCCAAGCAGCATGTGGTTTAAGCTTTGATGCTCCCAGTCACTGCCATACTTTTCACCTGTCATTATACTTTTGGGTGGCTGGTGTTTCTAACCTACCTGGTGAACTTTGACTCATTCTTCTATACTGAGACAAACCGATACCTCCTTTTCAAACAGCAACTCCTCCCTAACTCATTCCCGTCACCTCCACACGCAACACACTGATGTAATGGCTTATTTACATCTCTTTCCCACTAGAGGCGAGTCCCTAATAAGCAAGAACTATGCTCTGTTTATATCTGACTATGCTCTGTTATATCTAACTATGCTCTGTTTAATCAGCCCTTACCATAGTGCCTAGAACATAAGGGTTTACTTGGTGAATGAATGCAAAATACCTATCCAAAGGCCGAAAATGTCAAAAAAAGGAGTGGACTTACTGTATATACAGATGTTAATTTATGATTCCCCTGAACCTTATACAATGTTACTTCAATAAGACTTAAAAAAAAAAAAAAAAAAACTTCTGAATTTTTTGCCCTCTTATGACATCAGTGATTGCTTATGCTCACTTAAAGTCAATAAAACAACCCAGTCCCCAAGTTGCATTTTATCCCCTTGCTGGTTGCTTTACAAAATATTACTAGTGGTGACATGTCCACGCTCTTGCGAGTTCAAAGTTTGGGAAATTTATGTCAGGGTTTCTTTCTCTCTTAAGTTACGCTGCACTAAGGACTCAGCACCATCTGGCAGCCGAAGTCAAACAGCTAATCAAGAGAGGGGGCTGAGTTTTCTAAGATGGCACATTCTAGTCCTAAGCCCTCACGTCTCTGACAGTATTACGACCAGGATCTGGCTCGGAAGGCCCTGGTTCCCCACCAAGCCGCCCCCCAACAACTTGCTCGCCACCCTCCTCCCAGTGTCTGAGTCTAAGCTGGCGAGGTGACCCCAGTTTCTGGGGAGCAAGGCACCGGGGGAGCGCAGGCAGCGGCGAAAGAGGGGCCGGAAGGGCAGGGATGAGCCCGGAGTCGAAGAGGCGGAGCCGCGGCGCCCCCGCCCTACCTGCTCGGCACAGGTGACCCCCGCGATGCCGCCGCCGACCACCACGAAATTGCCCGCCGTCGGGACTTCGCGCGCTGCGTCCACGTCCATGTTTGGCGACTTCCAGCATCAGCCCCGGCGGCGTCCCAGGGGCCGGGCTTCCGGGGAGGAAGCCGCTTCCGGCGCGATTCGCGAAGCCGAGCTACGGGTGCCCAGCAGGTCACACCGCCTCGCCTTTCGGGCCTAGGCCGCGCTTCGGGAGCACAGCGCCGCCTGGTGGTTTCCAGGGCTCCGCGTTGTGACATGGCACCTGCTAGGAATTTTCCCACCGAACTTCTCTAAAGACGGAAACAAATTACAGGCAGAGCAAAGAGCACCGTCCCAGAAAGGCGGGTCAGATTGTTTAAACACAGACAAGTGTTCTTCTCATGGCCCAGAGCGTTCTTAGAATACAGGAACTGCTGTGGGTTTTTAACCATTCTTTTTATGAGACATTAGGTGCAGGCTCGGCTCTTAAATTCTTAGAGGTGCAAAGTGCCTTCAGGAATATCAGTCTTCCCCCACCCCTTCACCTGCAAGCTGGTAGAAGTTCTTTCTTCATGACCTGTTACAGCAAAGCAATACTGCAGTGCCAGCAGGAAGGGCACACTGCAGGATCTCTATGATCGGAGCAGATGGGCTAAGGAGGAGTCCTGGAGCCCTCGGTGGCTTTTTCAGGCTTTTATGGGGATTTTACCAGGTACATGTGTTATAGAGCAGCACCGATATTTAACGGGGTTTTTGGCTGGGTCCTCACCCGCGGCGCTTAAAAAGGGACTTATTAATACTTTATTACAGGCACACACAAAAGGTTAATAAAAGGTTTATTTACAAGGGAAAAGGAAATAAGGAAAATGTACAACTCAGGGAGAAAATAGGGAAATAAAGTCTTTAATGCGTCCTACCCAATCCGACGACCTGAAAAAACCCAGAGTCACTCTCAGAGCTGGCTGGCTGATGTGAGCTGGTGGAGAGCCAAAATGGGGATCCCCCAAAGCCCGCGTGTCTGCCTTTTATATCAACCAGGCTGCTTAACCCCACCCTCAGGTCCCAGCCACCTTACCTTTGGTGGTGATGGGATTTGGAGTTCCCAGTGTCTTTGGCTTTGGCCTGGGGTGGGGGTGGAGTCCACAAAGCCTGTATGGAATTAGCTTTAGGACATCCTTTTCCCCCTAACACATGGAAGTAAGGGGCGCCAGGGGGTGGCGAGACTGGCAGGCCTTCCTGCCCCAGCATTCTCTTGTGGTCTCGTTCTTTTTCTTCTGCTCCTCTTTCAATCTGCTCTCTTGCTTGTTTCTCCTTCTGATGGTTCTATTCCTCTGGGATCTTAGGAGCCCATCTTATGACGCAGCTTTTATGAGCCCAGTTTCAGCCCAGGTGTACCCACCTACATATGCCCACAGCCCACTCCAGGTGCCCGCCATCAGGCATGCATGCAGGACCCTAGGGATCCATCATCAATCCTAATGGCAGGAGGGCAGAAAAGCCTGACAGTCATTTACCCTACAAATACTAAGGAGTTGTTCTCAAAGAAGTTGTCATTTCACATATGATTTTGAGCTTGGCTTCTATTCCAATAGTATATGGAATAATAAAACTTGAACGTGACTTAAATTTCCAGTAGTGAAAACACGGGAGCATTCCCACAGTGAACTATGAATTGAAATAACAAGATCTTGTTAAACCCAGTGTGTTTGGGGATATCAAAGGGATTGCAACTAGAGACCAGCACTCTGGCAACCACAGGCCATCCAAGGAAGCAAAAGGGAAGTCAACTTTTACTAGGCTTAAGAGGAAGTAGGAAAAGCCTGTTTTGAAGCAAAGTTCATTGTGATTTGGAGGTGATGACAATTTCTCATTGGCCCTGATTGCGGCTGGGCTGGGCAGCTTGCTGTAAGCTCAACCAGTGCAGGTGCATGTGGCCCTACCCCTGATGGACTCAATTTTGAATTCTTCATTCAATTTCACACACTCGAGTTTCCAGTAAATAGCAGCATGTGCAGGCTGAAAGAAATACTGCCAGCTAAATTTTTACTGCTGATGCTATTTTTGGGTGGTATTCATTTCTTTGGAGGAAAGGCTATTTTTTTTTAAACCACTTTTATCATATCACATTACAGTGGCCACTATTTACATTATTTTATTATTTAATATTACTTTTGCTATATTATGTAATACATTCCTTAGGGCTTGTATTACAATTTAAAAAAAGGAGTCATTTTCTTAGTGGTTCACCCTAAAACTGGTAATTACCAACTCCCTTTTAATTCTTTAAATAGCCCTTCTGGAAATAGCCCTTCTGTACAAACACCTACCACATCTAATTTTACAGAGACTTGCTGATATCATTGTGGTTTTAGTTTAATTAGTTAAATAGTAAGCAGTTCAGTGATTCTAATTCCTATTACCAGGTGAGGGAACTAAACAAAGCGGGTCTAGAGGAGGAGATAGTCTGTAAGCCCATGTATACTTGCCTACTTCTCCAGCTTACGTTCTGGAGAGCACACTCACACTGTGCTCCATGGAATTTGAACCACACTTGCAGCTCCAGTTGTGCCCAAGATCAGCAGACTCAGCTAGCATAGCCTCCAAGAATCCAAAGACAGCTGATGCAAATGCAAAAGGGAGTTTATTACGGGCTCGAGTCCGGGCCCCCGACACGCACCGATGCAACCGCAGAGTTCGAGAGCCCCGAACAGAGGAGGCAGGGGTCAATTATAGGGTCACAGGCGGCGCGAATTTTGAAAGAAGCTGGCAATTACTCATTGGCTACTACAAAGGCATTTTGGCGCGTGCGCTTACAGTTTCAAACTGATTGGAAGGTTAGAGATGTTGTCCCATTTATGGACAGGACTGCCCTCATTGGCAGCTGGGGTGGTCTGCTTTTTCGTCACCAAGTGGAGTGAGGGTTGTGACTGCTGAAACTATCTCCGGAATGTGGCTGGACAAGAACTAACATATCAAGTTGGAGGATATACAAAATGGCGAAACCTCGGCTAAGCTTGGTTCCACACTCCCAGGATACACCATTTTTTCCCCCTGAATATTTGCACACAAGTTTTCCTACAATGCTCTTCCCCAACTACTTTTCCTTAGTTAAGTCCACACTTGTAGGGTAAGGTAAAAGCATCAGGCTTTTCTGACCTCCCGCCATTAGGATAGATGATGGAACCCTGCAGTCCCGAATGCATGCCTAAATAGGGTGTGGGCATATGTAGATGGGGTTCACCTGGGCAAAGACTGGGCTTTTAACGGCAGCATCACAGGGACGCCAGCAGAAGCAGAGTAGCAGACAGAAGCCAAGAGAGAAGCAGAGAAGCAGAGACCACCAGAGAAGGCTGGAGAGCCCAGATAAAGTGAAGACTTGCTGGGGGCTGGGAGGCCTGTCAGCCTCCCAGCCCCGCAGCACCCCTGCCTGCCATGTACCTGGTAAATCTCAATAAAAGCCTGCAAAAGCCACTGAGGGCTCCAGGACTCTTCCTTTACCCGTTCTGCTGGATCAGAAAACTTGCTCAGTGTCCTTTCCTGCCCACTACAACACCCACTTCAGATTTGAAACAGCGCAACTGCGACTGTTTCACCTCCAAAGCTTTCTTTAATGTCTTTAAGCCTGAGCAGTGTCTTCTTTGTGGTTCACTAGTGATGGAGGCTGAAGGAGAGAATTTGGAAGGCTTCACAAGACCAGAAAGTGGAGGTGGAGATAAAAATGATTAACATAGTCATTAAACCAGCTATGGTAATGCAAAGTCTTTATGCAGGACTGCTAGAGGAAATCCTATGAAAATGGAGATTGTCAGTCCACAAAGGAATGAATTCCTCAAAACAACTCTATATATGAACAACTCCTAGTCCAGCAAAATGAAGCTTTCTTTCCTAGACTGCCCGCCTGTGTCTATGCAGGTGCCTCTTTTTCTTTCTCCTTTTCCTAATAAACCCATCCTTTTAAAATATAAAAAAGCCTTTGCCTATTTGTATCTATGCATACATCTTTTCCTTAGTAGACTTTCCCTATGCCACTGAAAAGGGAGCTCTGATGAAAGTTTTCTCAGAGGTAACCCAAGGACCCTGCTCATTGAACACCAACTCTCATCACAACCCCCTCAATAATTGCACCTGGTCATCCCCTGACTTATGTCACTTAACTATTTATTACCCATCTCTCCCTTCCTTCCTCACCATAAACGCCTTAATCTCAGGGTTATTTATGGTCTACCGTAGTATTGCCCATCTTCAGTTGGTAGCAAGAATTCCATGTAAACATACTGAATGATTTAGGAAGTGGATGGAGTATGAGGCTACCCCCCAGTTCTCTAAAGACTTATTGGCCTCGCTGCCCAAGATCAAGATTATCCTGTGTATAATGACAGCTATTTCCCCTTGAAGGAGACCTAAGAGAAGATACTGGCCCTTGAGTTCCCAGAGGAAAAGTGACAGGGGCCAGAAGAGGGATGAGAAAGTTAGCATGCCTAGCTTATGAACCTGCATGGACACATATATCTGACCTGTGACCTGTTTGTGCTGAGTTAACTTTCCAGTGCCAGAGGTTCCTAGAAGAGTGATGGACACCATTTCTGTCAGAGACTGAGCCATCCCAAAGGGAGTGAAGTGCTCTAGATGCCAGTGGAGGGGCAGGCTGCCAGGGGGACAGGGCACCATAAAACTCTCAGAAGTAGTTAATTGCCTGGGGTGAAGACCATTCACTGATAATTAACTGTCTTTCACTCGTATAAAGCAGCCTGTTCGAGATGGGGTATCAGGATGGTTTACTTTGGAGCTTGATGCTCTGCTGTTCTCAGATTAGCTTGCTTATTAAATAATGTATTAATTAAATAATGTATTAATAATGTATTAATTAAATAATGTATTAAAGATTCAATCCCTGTCCTTTATGTTTTGGTTTGACAATTGCGACTGGCAGAAGGAATCTGATATTTTCAGGCGGCAAAAAGAGAGGGACCAGGTGTAGATGAAGGAGAGGCTGGAAAAGGAAGCGAAACGCAGAAAGAGAGAAGGAACGGTGACCTCACTCCTCACTTTCTTCTTTTCCTTTCTTCATAGAGGCAGGCCTGTGTCAGCAGGATCGCGAATCAGACCTCGCTGCCCTCACCAGCT